CTCTGAGCTACATGTAGGCAAATGCTCACATACACACACACACACACACACACACACACACACACACACCAACAGATTACCTAACTGATAATTTGTGTGTCCAGAGCCAAGGGCTGTGGCAGCTCTACTCAGATATGGAGCTGAACATGATCCCTGTTCTGGCAGGTGAGCACTGCTTTACTTTTTTCCCTCCAGACACTCAGAATTGTTTTAAAATACAACGAAATCTTCTCACAGATTCTTCACCCCACACCCTGTGAGATTTATTGTGAAAAATATCCCTGAATAAACAGTAAAAGCATGTAATACTGGATGACAATTAATTTTTTTATTGGGCTCTTCCAGTTTTCTATATCCACAATAAAAATCTGCTGCTGTTGAAAGATTTCCTGTTAATGAATCAATAAATTCTTTTTCTTGTTTCAGCCATGGAGAGCCACCGCATCCATGTTGATAAGGAGGCACTAAAGAGAACTTCAGACTTGCTGGGGGTAAGATGGCAAAAAAACTCTGTGGTAAACTGAATGGTTTGACTGGTAGATCTTAAACTTTCACAGAGTTATTAATAAATAAGAAAAAGATTTCTAGAAGAAAAATAACTACTGCCAGGAGTTATTGGCCTTTGCAGTAAATGTTAATCCCCAACCAGAATACACTGATGAATCAAGATCAGTGCAAATATTTGTAAAAAGTGTGTGTTTGCAAGCTGTGTTTTAAACAATTCAACCATTATTTCTGTGAGTTTGTGAAATAAGTTACAGACTAATGCAAAACTGGACATGCAACAAAACCCATTGGGCCAATGCATTAGTTAACATTCATGATATATACTGTAGATATTCTGGTTTCTTTCTTATGTTTAAAGGCTGTTGTGTGATCATACCAAATACGATACTGTATGAAAGGCTTGAAAGTCACCCCGTATTTCTTTATGTTTTGCTTCCAAGGAGCCAGCTTGTCCGCTCATTTTTAAAGTGCTGTTGAGCAACAACTTTTTCCTATTTTCCTAACAAAATATAAATAAATAAGTTCAAGACTTTCACGCAGTATTTTAATACAGGCCAAGCTTAGTGTCTGGTTGACTGGGTCAGCTTGGATTTGTCCTGAGTCACTCTGAGTTGATTGTATTTTAGTCTGGCTGCTAAAGCATAGAGCTGTTGATAGATGCTGTATCAGCAGCGATGACAGTAGCAGGATATGAGAAACAGGACAGACCTCAGGGAAAAAAACGAAAAAACAAACAAAAAACATAAGACAAACAGAAAAATGGTATCTCGTTTCCTTCTTCTGAGCAGATTTCATGAAGTGTGGGGTGGATGTCCTCTGGGGGCCTGTCCTGTTTACACAAAGAGTAAAAAACAGTTCTGGAGATGAAATCTGAGAACTGTCACGGATGCACAAAGATGTAGATGCAGATGGCATGGACAAACACACGCACAAAGAATACACAACATAGTCAGTTTAGTTTCAACTCACAAGTCTTGCAAACAGCAGCAGGGTTGTTGTTGTGGAGGCAGTCTTGATAGCTCTCTGTGTTACTATAAATAGGACGGATAGTCTGTCTCTTTCCTTTAAGAGGCTGTGCTGCAGGAAGAACGCCTCTGCAGAGACACGCACACACACGCGCTGAGGCACTCAAGTTTTTGAGGCTGTGGCAGGGTTGTGTGTAAATACATGTGTGTGCCTTTTTGTGAAATGTCTGCGTGTGCTGTCATGTGTGTCCAGACTCTGTTGTGCTGGATGTTGTTTTTATCTGAGCTGTCAAGTTCACCTGTTGAAAGACCAACCAGAAAATCCCTCCTGTCTGTCAGGCTTCATCTTTCAAAACATACTCACCTGCTCTTTTGTCTCAAATTGTGTTTGAGAACAGCTCACAAGATCGCAGTGAAAAAACTGTACACACTGTCCACGGTCCTGAAGTTGTAACCATTTAAATGTAAGTGTAATAAAACTTCAATCCAAGGCCGGAGTATTATCAGGATGCTCTCCTTACAAATACTGACAGTACCAAGATCCAGTTTTTGCCGTTGCAGCGTGTTTGTAAATCTGACCTTAAGACAGCTATGCATGAACAAATGTCTGCAAACCTCAATGAACTGAAGCAACACTGTAAAGAAGAGTGGGACAAAATTCCTCCACGATGATGTGACAAAACTGATGAAGCAATACAGAAAGTGATTACTGTAAGTTATTGCTGTTAAAGGTGCTTCTACAAACTACTGAATCATGGCATTCATTTAGTTTTTCAAAGGACTGTGTGAAGGTCAGCAGTTCTTTTGTGCCTGACATTGTCCTTTATTTTCAGAAGGGCCTCGTCTGACGGCACATTCCTCTCGGCAAAGGGACTGATTTGTCTCCAGATTGATATAAAACGAAAGTATGCCATTTCACAGTTAGGTTTAATATCCATTTTCCCAATATTTTCTTTTTAACAATTCTTTTTATATAAAACAACAATTTTTTTTTCTTTTTTAACACAATTGTAGCATTTCTTAAAAAAAAAAATCTCCCAAAAAACCAAAATCAAAATTAATCTGTGCGCTGATTATTGTTCTTCTCCACTCTACATATGTTTAAAAAGTCCCTTAAGCTTTCTTCCACCTTGATTTAGATGCCATCTATTTCTTCATTTCCATCAAAAAAGTCCACGTCTTGATCCACATGGTGTGAAGTGCAATAAAATATTGCCCTACAGAGCCCTGTGCCTTCTGCATGTGTGCCTTTGTGTGTCAAACAAAGTACTAAGGGGCTCCCATCCAATATTGATGAGGCAGTCTGGTGCCTGCTCTGGGCAAGAGAAAAGTGCATATTTTGGGCTTTAGGTGCATATCTGACAGCTCACCCCAATTTTTCTCCTTTCATTTTCTTTCTGTCCCTTCGTGTTAGTCTCTCGCCACACTGCTGTCCTTGATTTTGTGCCACAGTTGTTCCACTTCCCCCTACCTTTTTGTCAAGTCATGTCTCTGAACTCTCCTCCTTGTTCCAAATGCAATTTTGTGTTAAGGTCCAGCCCAAACATGTTCTCACCAGTTCATGAATAACCAGTGTTACTTCTCACATTTTCCCCCATGTACCCACACCAGTGTTTACTTCCCAGTTCAACTTTCTTTCAACTCTTCCAATTACCCATTTTTTTGTCCCATATTCCCAAATCCGTCACTCTGCTGCTCTTTCAGACTGTTGTCTCTCATTTCATCAACACATTTACCCCGATACACTCCGCCTCGTTTCCTCTCGTCTCCGTTTCTCTAACCTCATTCCCTGGTTTGTCTGTCAAGTGCTTTGTTCAGACTTGCAGTGAGCTGTGATGAGGGTGTCGCCCCCTTCATTAAAAAAACAGCTCAAAATCTTCACATTTAGCTTAAATATTGTATAAGAATGAATTTCACGCCTTTATGTCCTCATTTAAAACTTTCACATTTATTTTTTATCACAATCATGTTCTTCTTGGGATTCATCCTCTTTGCATCTTCAAGTTATTTAATAGTGCTTCTATCTTTCAGTCCTCTCTTCTGTCTCTCCATTTTTTCTATGCCAAGTCACTTGTTTGCCCCATTTCTGTAGCGTAGTTTCTGTTTTTCCCCCTCCTTATTTTTTTGATTTCTTTCTCTTTTTTGTGCCATTTGTTTTCCATCATTTCCTCTTTCTATGTTTCTTATGTTGCCCTGGCTTTCCTGCGGCAAGGGGGTGGGGAAATCCAGGCCTCAAGGGCCAGGGTCCTGCAGGTTTTAGGCATCACATGTGTTTCCCATGGGACGGAAAGGTGTAGGAAGAAGGTACAGAGTGTAATAAATGACTTCCTGTTTCACATATACAGTCATGTCAAAAAGAAACCAAGTAACCCTCTAAGATTTAGTCATTTGTAAAACCATCTTTAGCAGCAATAACTTGAAGTAACCACTCATTATGTCAGCACGGGGCCATCACAGCACTTTGATTCTTTTCTTTTTCAGCCATTCTGTTGTAGTTTTGCTGCTGTGCTTGAGATCCTTCTCCTGTTATCTGTCACACATATAGCCTCACGTTTGACTCTAGAATATTTGGTATACAGAGGAGTTCATGGTGAACTCAGTGACTGCCCCTCCACCACCGTGCATGACAGTTGGTTTTCACCAAGCGTGGTGTTCAAACATCTCCGCTTTGTTTTTGTCTATCCAAAGTATGTTGTTCTAGAGGTCTGTGAACTTTGCTGCCACGTTCTGCTGTGATTTTGTCTGTCTTTCCAACTCTGTCAGACTAAAATGAAGCAACTGGAGCAGGAAGCACACCGAGCAGCTGGACAAATATTTCTGTTGACCAGCAACACTCAGCTACGAACAGTACGTACCTTCATGTGTACATCTGGATGCTGTGTGCAGTATATGGCTTTTCTGTGTCTGTGCGTGTGTATACCGTGCATATGCAAACGTTTGTATTCTTCTACGCTTTGCGTCTGCTTCATGTTTTGTGGATGTTGTGGATTTACAATGTTTGTAGATTCTGTTTGAGAAGCTGCGTCTTCATGAGCGCTGCGAAAACAAGAAGCTTCCCAAGACCATCGGCAAACAGCAGCAGTCAACATCCGAAGCTGCAGTATGACACACACGTGTATAGACACAGACAGATATTTCAGTTTGACCCTCAGTTCTCTGTGAATCCAAAAATGTCTTTAGATTAGAGACAAAGATTTATTTTTTTCATGTTTAGATGTTTCCCCTCAAACTTCACTGCACAGTCACTGTTCTTAGTCACGTCTCTATCTCTGTACAAATATACATGAGTCAATCACAGCTGACGACCGAATCGCGGAATAGTTTCATCGGCTAAAGCGTCGTAAGCAGCGAGCCTCCTGATTATTAGCCCGACTTTTGTTGCATGTCAGTCTTTGGTTCATTTTACCCACATTTTCTGCCTATTTGAGCTTTTGCTATCTTTTAAATAGGTTTATATGTAACAGCCCTCTTATAAAATTCATCTGTTCCCAGCTTTTAGGGCTTTAATACGTGTACCTCCTTCTTGTATGACTTTAGAATTAAAAAGAAGGTGATATATACATTATGTCATTAAAAGCTCCGTAGTTATATATAGTAGCCCTAATCTGGCCTCCTGGTGGTAGTGTGCTAACTTAATGGTGAAAATGATGTAACCCTCCCAGGAGAGAAAGTCTAATGGATTGAATGTAGACTGTTAAGGAGCAGAAGATTGACAAGCACTCAGGTCTGACCAACTTGGTATGTGGCAAAACCACTTAACTCTAAAATTTGTATATCAAATCATGAAAACAAGAAATTGCGCTCTTAAATCAAAGGACCTAACTCTTGAATACCCACCAAGAAAACTGTACTAAAATACAGTGCGTGCCCAAACATATTCATAGCAGTGAATAGAGAAAAACATCTGAAATTACCACCAATAAAGATCAATGTGGACAATTTTATAGTAATTATTAATATTTGGAGATCACAATTATTTGTTAATTTTAGTGAAAAAACATTTATATTGCACTTTGATGTAAATATAACACTGCATTCCTGCTATTGTCTACATGTTTGCATCAAAATAAAATTGTTCCTTCTTGTTCACATACAATCATCTTTTTGAAGGAAAATCTAAATTAAAGCAATGTCATGATTTTACACTTTTCATACCCAGAGAACAGACAGCTGTCTTGTAAAGATTTATTTACAAGTGTGATAAAAGCAGCGATAGACTGTGGAAGAATGGACTACTGATTTAGAGAGTTACAGCAACTGAAAAGGTTTGAAAAGGCTGAGGCATTACTGGAGAGTGCAGAGAGGCTGAGCTCGGGAGCAGGTCGGAGGCCCGGGGTGAGCAGCTGGGTATCAGTGGAGAGTGGGCAGACAGGCTAGTCACAGATAAGACTGAGAAATCCACTGGCAGTATTTGGGTGTGTGGGTGACAGAAGCTTCGGTCAAGGGAACACTGGCTGACTTTCCAAAAACAGGCAACATGCTTCAGGCAGGGAAACTGGGAGAAAAACAAAGACACAGGGTTAGAGGCAGGAACAGAGAAACAAACACTAGACTGAGTGAGCCAAGATACCACAATTGTGGACATAATGAACTGGCACATAACAACAGCCAGACCCTGTCCTTAAAAAACACAGCCACAATAAAGGGATTTACAAGAGGTGTGGAAGCAAGCTCGTGTAGGGCAGCACAGACCAGCTGAAGTCTGCATCTGAAATAACAAAGCACAGAGGAACCTGCCCCAACCCTAACAAAACTTAGCACAAAATAATATGACTACTTATACACTGTACTGCATTCCTGTTAATTAAAACAGCTTTACAGGAAATTTTGTTCATGTGCATGTCCTAGAAGCAAAATATAAAGCCTTTCAATCGATTTTCTTTTGTACCTGACACGAAAGGCACAAAAATGCAGCTTTTCAGTCTTTGTCTCCTTCCTTTTTGTTGCAGTTGTTGCAGCTTCAGGGCCTGCACCCTCTGCCAAAAATAATCCTGGACTACAGGCAGGTCTGGCATGTTCATTATTATTATTATGAATCATCATTATTATGAAAAATGAATGAATGGGAAATTCACTTCTTGAGCAGGAGCCCCTAAAAGACTGGGTGGTCACTGTTGAGCTCTGTAGAAATCAGTTTCATTTTTGTCAGTCAGAAAGGATTATCCAGGTTATGTTCATTGGCCAAAATCACAAATCATTAAATAATGATTATACAGTTCCACTACCAGATGAGACAAGTGGGACTTCTCTAACCAATGGGTGTGTTGTTTTGACCTTATCTGTCTTTTATACTATGATGTTTTCTTCCCAAGTTATTAAATCTGTTCTTTTTAAGATGATCATTGTTTAGCTTTACCTTTTGGGGGTTACATAAGGTATAGAGATAAAGTGTTTTATTGTAACAAATAATTGCATTGTTGTTCACAGGTTCGCAAAATCAAATCTACTTTTATTGATGGGATTTTGTCGTGCATGATGAGCAAGGTGAGTCAACTCTGTTTATACACTATTTTGCTAAAAGTATTCAGTCACATCCAAATCATTGAATTCAGGTGTTCCAATCACGTCCGTGGCCACAGGTGTATACAGTCAAGCACCCAGGCGTGCAGACTGCTTCTGCAAACATTTGTGAAACAATGTTTGTTCCTAGGAGCTCAGTGAATTCCTAAGTGATATGATGCCACCTGTGCAACTCCAGGCCTGAAATTTCCTAGCTACTAAATATTCTACAGTCAGCTGTTAGTGGTATTATAACAAAGTGGAAGTCATTGGGAATGACAGCAACTCAGTCACAAAGCATTAGGCCACATAAAATCACAGGGCCAGGGATCAGCCCTGTGCTGAGGCACATTTTGCTCAGACGTGACCAACGTTCTGCAGAGTCTTACAGACCTCTAAGCTTCATATGGCCTTCAGATTAGCTCAAAAACAGTGCACAGAGAGCTTCATGGAACGGATTTCCATGGCCGAGCAGCTGCATCCAGGCCTTATTTCACCAATGTCTTCCTGCAAGAACAGTCAAAAATTCCCGTAAGCACTCCTAAACCTTGTGGAAAGCCTTCCCAGAAGAGTTGAAGCTGGTATATCTGCAACAGGCAAAACCTTATGGGCTAGGAATGGGAAGTGACTCAATTTTATATGTGTGTGTGAAGGCAGACGAGCAAATATTTTTGGCAGTACATCCCAAAAAACTTGCTTGTTTTCAACGGGTCAAAGCGTTTTTAGTGGGAGAAGCATTTCATGACTCATCCAAGTTACTTTTTGGAATTTCCTTACATGGATGATTGAACATGCATCTTTTTGCAATACAAACTTTCTACAAAATGTATAAAAGGTAAATGTACTCAGTCCACTGGCACTCTTTTTTCTTGATGTGGATTTTTTTTGACTTTTTTGTGAGACTGAAACAACAAAAACTCGAGAGTGAAACCAAAGGTTTACAAGTTGCTGCAGGCTAGAAGGACTCCTGCAGCTCCCACAGCTTTTGTTTTCATTTGCTCACAGTTTGCTGCTGCGTCAGTGCACTAGAACAGTAATTTATGCTGCTGGACAAACCCGTGTTTTTCCTCTTCACCTTTTAAATTCAGCTGCCGGTGTGAATGTCACCATCTCTCTGAGGCTGTGACAAGATGTGGTTTCACAGCTCCTGAAACAGAGTCATCACAAGTGTGGATGAGCTCTGCTGTGCTGACTTATTAGTGAAATAGTGAAACATGTTGTCTGAGTTGGACTCTCGAAGCTGTTGGTCTGTTTTATTGCCACTGCTGTATTCATTTGGCAGAAGAGAGATGTATCTCTGTGCCTGACTGTCCCTCCACATGGGCCTCTTTCAAGCCTCGTGCATGGGAGCAGCAGCTTGTGTTTGTCAATCTGTGCTTACTCAACCGTGCAAATGAGTCTGCCTGGTGTTCTCCAAAGCTTTTTGGCTTCGGATCATCGTGATTCATTTGGCGGCATTTTGGGAAAAAAGCTGGCAACAACAAATGTATACAAATTTCTACTCAGTCATAACTTGAGTATTTGTGGTTTTATAAAATAGATTTCTGTAAAGTGTAAAATGTCACAACTACGTGGACCCTGTGGCTGACACCACAACATCGAATGACGTTTTATTCGCACTTACAATAAAAAAAGAAAGATTTAGGAAAACCAGAAAACACCACATCCGAAAAGAAGGCAAGAGTCAGAATGGAGCCACAGCTGAAAGAGTCAGATGCCAGAGTTGGATTAGACGTAGATATAAGGAGTAAAGAAATGAGGGAAGTAAAAAAGCCACATGAGGAACTAACCTTGAGAGTGAATGTGAATAAATTCTGACAGACAAACAATGAGGCACAAGCAGTGGAGATCACTAAAAGTGAATGGGGAAAACTAAGAATACTACAGAAGCCATACAGACAGACAGACCATGAAATAGTAGCAAAGGTCTGCTGCGTGGGACCTTAGCTACTATATGCTGTAATTATCTTGTCGTCTAATTTATTAGGTTAATAGGTTTGACAGTGTGCAGATGTTTAGGTTACATAACTACACTGCAGTCTTGAGCACTATAGTGTTGTTTTTGTTGGTGCTGTTGATGTTTTGTCCTGCTTATTGCAGCAACATAACTGGCACCCTACTCTGCAAGCAGCTTGTTCAGATTGGGCATGGCACTGTTGAAGGCGTGTGGGTCCAAACACGGGATCAGAGTGATCAGGGCAATCAAGACCGCAGCTGTTGTTTTCAGGCTGTTTTTGGCTATATGGAAACATTAGTGATAACATAGCTGACTGAGATGTTCATGTGATAATGTGTTGAATTTACAGGTTCTCCCTGTTTTTAATTCATATTTGACTCCCTTTGTCTCTTCATGTCAGAGCTACATTTCCTCTACGTGGCACCAGACCAGTGTTGTGACTGGGAGAATCTCTGCAAAACACCCAGTAAGTCAAACTTGCCTTGCATTCCTACCCATCTCTCCCAGCCTTCATTGCACTGGAATTAGTTGATACATCTTGGACTGTTAAAACACTGCAACAGGATTAAGCATCCTTGGAGGAGCTATCCATGGTTCTGAATTGGGAAAATTCAGCGCACTGAATTGGGAAAGTTTCTTTCTAAGAGTTCAAGGCACATGCATAGAATACCTAAAAGACCACATCAATGTGCATTAGTAGAAACAGAAACGCTGGATTATATCTATGAGAAATTAAAATTTGGCATTTTAACGACTTACAGCGCAAAATATTTTTACATTTTTATGGAGTGAGGAAAGCCTTTTTCAGAGCTTTTTGCTTAAAGTATTTAAACAGAAATAATATTTGAAAAATCTCACGAAAGATTTGTACACACACACAAATCTTCTGCTCGTGGATTTCTAAGATCCTAACAATCTTCTCCTTTTTGTGCTCTTTATAACTAAGCTTTCATTGGCTATTTCTTTCTGGCTTTCTCCCTTGTCAGAGAAACTCCTTAAGGAAGCTGACTGCATAGTAATTACATGCTCAGTCGTGAATGCTGAGTTCTCATAGAAACAGATGTTTTGGGATTGTTGTGTAACAGCAAGCTGGAGGTTTCTATGAGCTGCGTTTTTTATGAGGTGTAGCTGAGAGACAGCAGCTCAATGTTTAAAACATGAGTGTGAATAAAGGGGCGGGTGTTGGACGCCTGGCTGATAGGGAGCATGTTGAGTTAGAATGGCTTTACAGAGTCAGAGAAATAGTCCTGCTGAAATATTCATACATCCTGGAGCAAAGAGCAGGTGAGGCACAAAGAGGAAGACTTCATTCTAAGAAGACATTCGTTTTTTTTGACAGAGTTGATAATTATCATTTTCTTACTGTTATCCTCTATGGTATGAAAATTAGTTAGAAGCTATATATACCTCCCCTTTTTATCAGGCAGTCGTTGGCTTCAGTTGTCTTTGCAATATAATATTCTTGGTAGAAATATTAGAAATGTGGTCTGTGTAACTAGTAAATCAAATACGAGGCCTAGGGGCCAGAACCAATGCGTGAAATGGGCAAATTCTGTCCACTGAATGACTTTGCAAAGTGTGAAAACTGCAGCGAGTTCGTTAATTATTCAGATTTTTCATAAAATGCACTGGCATTCATTCTGTGGTGATGTCAGAGCTAATGAAAGTTAAAAGTGCTGGATCTGGATTTGTTGTTTGAATCATAAAAACGTTAAATACTTTATGCCGAGTGTGTGAAGTGTAATGACAGTAGACCCAATCAAGTAGAAAACAGATATAAATTGTTGATTTTCCGAATGTAAGCAGTAACATCTCAATAAAGCAACTGGTGTTGTTGATGTTTTTAAACTGACTTAAATTATTATGCACTGGTTTTCCTGGCCTAATTCACTTGCCTCGTCAGTCCACAGAGCATTTTGCCCAGCCTCTTTCTTATTGCTGAATCATGAACTCTGACCTTTACTGAGACACGTGAAGCCTCTGGTTTTTTAATGTTGTTCTGGGTTATTTTGTGGCCTCCCGGATGAGTCATCGATGTGCTCTTAGAGTTATTTCTGGAGGCCGGACACCCCTGGGAAACTTCACCACTGTTCCAAGTTTTCTCCATGTGTGTTCACTGGAGTCTCAAAGCCTTTGAAATGGTTTTGTAACCCTTTCCATACTGATAGACGTCAGTGACTTTGTTTCTCAAGTGTTTCTCTAGATCATGGTGTGATGCGTTGCTTTTTGAGCTCTTTTAGCCTGCTTCACTTTGTCAGACAGCTTCTCTTTAAGTGATTTCTCGATTCAGCAGGTCTGCCAGTATTCAGGCCTGAGTGTGTTTAGTGAAAGTGAACCCATCTTTCCAAAAAAAAAAAAAAAAAAAGTGGTTAATCACAGTTAATCAAAGTAAATTTAACAAGAGGCACAAATTAGTTTTTCACACAGTACCAGGTGGGTTTGGATAACTTTTCTCTCTTAATCAATGCAATCACCATTTAAAAACAGCATTTTTTGATTTTTCAAGTTGTCTTTGTGTAATATTAACATTTTTTGATGATCTAAAACATGTAAGTGTAATAAATATGCAAAACACCAGGAATTCAGGAAGAGAGCAAACGCCTTTTCACACCACTGTTTTGTTCAGTTTCAAAGCCTGTGGTAACCTCGGTAAAAAAAAACTAAAGCCTAGCGTTTTAGGCAATTATCCAATTACAATGTAATTGGTACAAAAGTAAAGGGATACCCAGTCCTTTGTAAGATTGCACACAGATGGTGCTGAGGTCATAGATTAATGAAGAAAAACCTCAGAAAATTATAGTTGTCGCCCAGTACTCTTTGATACAGTTTTTTTATTGAATTGATTCTTTATATTTTTAAGTAAGATGCCACATTAAGGTGGCATTTTGAAATAACACACACACTATCAGTATTAACAGTGAAGGTAAACACTCTCTGTTTAATAGTTTGAGCCAAATGCACTCAGTGCTTTTTCTGTAATTGTAAAGCTTTATTTCTGTAAGCCTGAGAAGTAGGGCTGGGCCATATCATACCGTTCACGGTAATACCGGTATAATGTTGGGCAACGATAAGAAAATGAAATATCGCGATAGAATATGGGTAGAACGCACATACGCAGTGCCTTTGTTTTCATACGCACGTGGCGGAAAAAGCATGGCGGCGACGAAGAATGAGAAGGGCGAACGAGGATCATTGAATGAAACGGATGAACCAGAGCTGGTTTGGCTTTCGTCCATCAGATACACAACAAAGCACTATTTTTGGTAGAGCATGCTAGTGGGCTGTTGTTATTACCGTGTCTTTTGGAAAATACGGCACACTTTAAATCTACCCTTTGATTTCTCTGAAAATCGACAGTTCCCCTTACCTTATAATCCCGTGTGCCTTATGTATGAACTCTGGTTGTGTTTAATGACCTCGAAACGATTTTATGTACACGGCGCTCGAAAATCTGTCAAATGTTTCAGTACGATTTTGCTAAGCTACGAACCCGCACCACTTGATGGATTGTCGGAGCGTTACGGCCATCGCAGGCAGGAGCCTTGCAGAGTGATACATACTGTGCTTCAACATAATATTACCGTATTGTGTGTGTATAACCTCTTTTTAAGTTTTGTGGATATTATACATGGTTATGCTGAGGATATGTCGGCCAGTTCCCACTGGAAATGCCTTTTGGTTAAACTGCCAGCAAGGAATTTGCACTTACACTGTTAAATTTTTATGTAGCTTTAATGCACATAAAAAACAGCTGCTTGTTTAAGTGAAAATACATTGATGGGGTTCTTTTGCACTAATAAAGTTGTGGAGATGTAAAGTACTTTGTCTAGTGTCAATTATATCGTCAGTTATATCGTTATCGCAAATTTTCAAATGTATATCGTGATAAATATTTTTGGTCATATCGCCCTGCTCTACTGAGAAGCTGTGCTGATGGCTTTCTGTGATTAATTTAGCAGCATTTCTATGTACTGTTGAAAAGCATTTGAAAAGTCACATCATCAGTTTCAGTGGTTCATTATAAAAGCCAATTTGAAGGCTGCATATGATCGAATTGTGGGAACGAAAATAAACTTGACGCTATGACAATGAAATAATAAATATAAATAAAAATACCTGTAATAAATAATATTATAAAACAGACAACTGCAAAAAAGTGCTTCGACCTCTGTCTCGGTATGGGGAGGTCGATAGCTCATTTCAACAATACTCAGCTGTCAGGCTCCGCTGGTTCTTCTCCTGTTAGATCCTCTCCAAGCCTCAAAGACACTGAACTTTTCTAATCTCACCGAGCAAATTGTGAGCGATGTGAGCTACACATTGAATTGATTGTGCTGCTACTAAATGATATATGTGACTGTGGGCGGCTGTGGTTTATCACTGCTCTTTTCCTGCTGTTACTCAGATGTGGGATTTGGTTGAGCATCCTATTAAGCGTGTGAATGCTTGTGGTTTGTGCTGTGCGCCAGTGTGGTCTTTAGTGATTTTATTGTACTGTGATAGTAATTTGTTCCCAACAATAAATAATACAAGGCAATATGGATGTGCCCATGTTATGTGGAAGTTTAATGACCAAATGATTAAAGTACATGCCATGTATATTTACTTGTGTTTTCCTATTTCTATTGCTATAGAAATAGAGGTCATAGTGGCCTTTGCTTCATGTTGTCCTAGGTTTTTTTTTGCCATGTTTGCTTCCAAACTCTTATTGCCAGTACATGCTAAAAATGCCCAAGGAATTGTTATGCCATGCTTTTCCCTCAGAATACTAGAAGGTTACATCTGAAGCGTGAATTGTTTTAGTATATGTTTTAATGTTTATTAATGTTACAAAAAAGATAGTGTGCTCGCCTGTTTTTTTTCTAGAACCATCATCCTGAATCCAACACTGTGGCTCTAAAAGCCTGACAGACAGTAGCGATACTCATCTAACAGCCATGGACGGTGGACGGTGGGCACTTCCTCCTAGAGTGCAAAATTATCCACAACATCATAAAATAATTCACTTTGACCACTAAAGGGTGTAAAAGATGGATACAGCCAACGTGGAAGTGCTGGTATTCCTCTCTGATCAGTACCAGGGGGCAATACCTGTGGTTACAAACAAATGTTCTCTCTTGTAGAAGAGTATGAGAACATGGCCCTCTGCCCCGACCTCTGTAAACGCTTTTGTGATGACTTCATGGGTCATTCTAAATGTCAGAAATTTCACAGTTTGCAGTTTTGATATACCAGTGGTACTTTTTTTTAAGTGAAAACACAGTTTCCACTGGAGCACACATTAGTAAAGCTGTTCCTAAGCTACAGTGATAAAAAGACTCAGCTCAAGGCTTCAGAAACTCATGGTGAAGTAACAATGGCTACCACCATCTTTTATACTGTTTATGGTTTGACCCAATCACAGAAGCTTATAGCAAGATATACGCCAATCTTTGAGTAATACAATAACAGCGCAGTTCAAATAGG